GTAAATGTTTGAAGCCTGAAGCCTGAAGCCGAATACATCGAAGTGTGATGCCTGAGGCGATGGAAATTCAGGGGCAAGCGCCGCAAGATCATGTCCTTGTGAACGTTGTATTCATGAGGCAAATGGCTGTGCACTGCCGTGCTACAGTGCTGTAGGCGCGTTGTCCATTGTTTGGCCTTGTACACCACACTCTTTCTCGCGCCCTCGTGCCCTACAAATACTTGTACATCTGTCCAGTCGTCCTGGAAGATGTCGCTCTCCACAGGAGCCAATCTGCCACCTAAAATACTGTCACACATCCTTAAATGTTTCACGCCAGTTCGTCTCTATCATCTGCATGACATGGATATAGTACGTCGCAAGATGAAACACGGGCTTGCTATGCTTGGTTTTGTATGCAAGCACTGGTCTGAAGCAATCAGACCTATTCTCTTCCATACACTTGAGTTGCGCGACGCCGAAGACGTACAATTCCTCAAGAACATCACCAACAGTCTCAGAATTACAGCTTCATGTCTGTCCGAGTCTTTTAAACAGATATTTATCCGTCAAGAAGCTACAGGGGAAAGCCCTGGCTTCACCATGTCCATGGACTTTCAACGGGACTCCGGGAGACAAGATTCGAGTGTAGCGTCGTGAACCGTTTGGGCAATTCGGTATCAATGGCAGGCCGTTGGGCCCCATTTGAGTCGGTACCCATTGTCACTCCATCCTATGTCCGACTTTCCATTCTCACTCTTGACAATGTCGTATTCATGAGCAAGACCGAGCTCGCACGGCTCGTCGACAATTTCCCCACCCTCTCCGAATGTCATTGCTGGCGACTTGCCTTCCTAGACCCGTCACCGGTCGTCCAGTCGCGTAGAACTCGGCGGCGTGCTCTGCCGACTCTCCACTCCCTAGACTGTAAGATACAGCATTGTAAGGATATGGCAGTTTCCACTCAAGTAGTGCTTGCTGCTGACATTGTCGCACCTGCTCGCCGCATGGGTCTTGACGACCGTACATGGGACGCCACCCTTCAAGGCCTGCTTGCGCTGATGCCAAATGGACCTGGAAGGGCGAGTGTGTGTCTTGATGATCGGAACGGCAATATGTTTGGTAAATCTTCTAGCTCATGTCAGTAGTGCAAAACTCACTGGCTATTACTCCTCAGATGTGGTGTCAATTGGTTGCGCTTCATTCGGCCCAGGTCGGTACTCTGTGTGCAACTACATCTATATTCAAGTCAAGGTTTGCTGACTAAGTGCAAGCCAAGGTGCAAGTCCACCACCGGCGCATGTCGAGAGCATCACTCTCGATCTCTCATATAATGATGCCGAAGTTGCGCACATCCTTCCATTGGACGCCTTGCAAGACGTAATTAACTCCCCATATGCGCGCTTCCTTTGCATCGACTCTGCCGAGCCGGGATATGAAGGATTCGAGGTCACGAAGAGGATCTTGTGCTCTGTCTTGCACTGCACGCAGCTGACCTGGGCCCTCGAATCAGGAAAACTCCGGTTCTGGGATCGATATCACGATTGTGATCCCATCACAAGTGCGGACATTCTGTCTGTATCGAAAGAGCACACTATCAACGGCACGACGATCACTCTCGACATGATGAACAAGCTGAGTGGTTACTACGCCCAGTTTGCTTTCCCATTCATGAATTCACAAAGGAGCAATACCTACGAAAGCTCATAAGGACTCGCACAGGTGGAGTGTTCACGGACATGTCCCACAGCCTCTGGGACGGCATTGTCCGCAGCAGATAGCACCCAAGACACGGCAATCGAGCAGACGTGGATAGTGGCAAAGGTCGATGGGATGGGAGGCAAACAATGCGATCGAACGGGCGGCAAAGGGGACGCAGAGAGTATGAGAGAAGAGGAATAGGCCTGCAAGCATGGACGACTCCACTAAGCATGGGTAGGGCATGTCATCAATGGGTCGTTGCGACTGCAGAGACATTTCACTGTGTTTCATAATATATGCCTCTTCTCTGGGTGCATGCTTTTGGACTTGTGTATGGTTCCAGAAATTGGTTATTGCCCACTATTTTGTATTCTCGGTTACACGTTATATTCGGTCCTTTGAATTTTTTTGATAGTACAGCGGTATTCAATGCTTCCAGTTTCTTTGCTTCGATTTGCACGTACATTTCAAAAGGAAGCTACACTGAAAATCATGGAATGAGGTGATTACTATTCTTACTGCCACAGAGCGGGGACTCAACATTGAGTCACCGGAAGTATCAATGCTTAGCACTCGAGTGTAGATACATGGTGAGGAAGAAATTGTAACGTCTTTCAGGATACATGTGGAATAGAGAAATGATTCTGGTCCCAGTGAAGTGATAGGAACTAAATGAAGCGAAAGAGATTGCTCCCAACCATTCGCTGAGGCCCCAGGACCCATGCCACAAAGCAAGCGCTTATTGAATGATAGTAAATGATGCGCTGTGTGCTGTTCTCGGAGCTTGCTCCCGCTGCTCATTTGCTTTCGGCCCACCAACGTATTTGGCACCTGCCACTCTCTGTCTCTGCTCGTGGCATCTGCGCATGCCTCATGATGCTCACCCCTGCAGTCTGTGCTTCAAGCTCGGCTTCCCACGGCGCCGCCGGTGAACCGACTTGCAGCCTGCCACCTCACTCTTGGCTTGTAGTCATTTCTCCTCCTGTGTCAAAGTTGCTCTCATTTTTTCTGTAGTTGCTATTACTGATGTGCTCTCTCGCAACGATTCTTACCATGCCCTGCACCAATGCTAAGCTATCCGCAACACTGCACGCCCTACCTGACGATGCCCACCTGAACATGCATCGAGGCTGCGGTCAAAGTTCCATCCTACCATCAGCAGGTACATGAGTTCGCCATTTATTATGGCGTACATGGGGATCGAGACATTACTAAACTTTGCTGTCCGTCTGGGTCCCCAGAGGGCAACCTGTGTCGCACGACCGCGAAGACCAGAAGCTAGCAGAGCGGTCTGATCGCAACAAATTCAATCTGGAAGAGATACGTTGGCTAACAGCGGTCTTTGTAAGACGCTAAATTGTGAGAATGCATCACTATAGTGCATCTTGGCTGTCCTGGTCCATCATTGTAAGCTAAATATTAGCACTCCAAAGTTGTCCCCGCCATTAATACCAGTATCAAAGCCCCTGCAGCCGAATTCAAGCTCACATTTCTCGCCCCTTGTCCTAAGCATGCATGGCAACTGCCACTTTTTCTTGGCCCGAAGCAGAGCCTGAGCTACCGGCCGGTATCATTTGCTGAAACGGTGCAATTTTTCAATTCACTCAGAGAGGTCGACGCGGCTGGATATATCAAATTTTCGAGACAATGAGGCCGCGCCAGGGGTTAGTGTAGCCGAGGCCACACAAAATGGCTGGATCAGTGGCAAAGCTATGGCACGCAATGATGCGTGATCACTCCATCCCATGCAGAGTTGCTCACTGGCCATATGAAGGTTGCTATTGGACAAAAAAATGAGTTTGGAATTGGTGCTAGTGATGTGCGGGCCAGGCCTCAAAGCCCGCGAGCCCGCCAAGCCTGGCCCAAAAAGCCTGACCCGAGCCAAGCCTGGCAGCGGGTTCAAGGCCGGGCTCGGAGCGTAGTCAAGCCCAAGCCTGGCCCGAAAGCCCAGGCTTGAGTGCACCAAATGTGTTGCCGTTCCCTGGGCTCAAAACATGGTAAGAACGACTTTATATAGAGTATACGCTCAGGTGCCACTTGGCCCGGGTCACCTTGCTGGTGACACATGTCGCCAGCAACTGAGGTCACCATCTGCGTACACGGCCTGTTGCTAGGGGTCGCGCCCGAAGCGTTAACCTGCCCGGGTGACTACCGGAGTTGTCCGAGCCCGCGCGATCGCAATCGGCACCCGCCCACCTTGCGCGCCCGAAGCGTCGGTCAGCGCGCGCTCGATCCCGGGACTGCCGCCGTCGCCCTTGCCCCCCCCAAACTAGTCAAGCTTGTGTAAATACTCGAAATAATTCATTTTGGTTTTTATGCAGCCGCTATCTTCTCTAAAATGCCCAATTTCACCCAATTTTGTCCAATTTTGCCTATTTTTGTGCACTTACTTGCCTTGCGGCGCCTAAATCACCTGTGGCGCGCAAGCAAAACACTAAGCAAGCGCACTATGGCACTGTGCATGCATTAAGAGCTGACCGCAGGTCGGGCTCGGCAAGGGCACACCGCAAAGCAGGCCCAAACAAGATTAATTACTTAATTAGAAAGCTACAGATACACGGTATACCGACGGTGTACGGCACAGGGGCTGAAGTCACCGGCGGGATGTGCGGGCAGGTGACCAGCATCTGTCAGACAGGTCACCCTGGTGGCCACCGTGCCTGCCATACATACACATACGAAACAAAATGTTAACTTACCAGACTGGGCGGTCCCTGCTAGTGTGACTAGGCGCGATTGTGCGCCACCACCTGGCGTTCGCCGTAGGCGCCCCTTCGCGAACCCTGTCATAACGTGGCTTGTAGCACGATTGCATGCCCCTCTGGAGGCTGCAGTATGGTGGGTACATGCAATAACAGTCTATCACATACAAATATGCTCACTTTTGTAGCATATAAATACTTGTCCTAAGCTTGGCAAGCTCAGGCTTAAGCCCACAGCTTGGGCCGGGCTCAGGCTTGGCTTGGGCTCAGGGCTCGGCTTGGCATTGCCACAAGCCCAAGCCCGGGCTTTGAGCTCAAGCTGGGCCTGCACATCACTAATTGGTGCAGACTGTACTCACAGTTTGGTGGACAAGGGTGCGCAAATGTGAACAAATGTGCACGAACGCGCACAAAAGCTCACAAAAGTGGGCAAACGTACATGATCGTGCACAAAAATAGACGAACGTGCACGATCGTGCATGCTGCTGAGCTTTGGTTTTGGTTACGCCCTGATTTGAGATTGGCGATGGCACTAATGTGTGCGCGTTTGTGCGCATTTGTGCGCATTTGTGCACTCAACTTATTATTCAGTTTCGTGTAAGCTGACAATTGGTTTTCATTTTCATGATTATGCATCTCATTTGAATCTCCGTGGGCATGAAGGTGCACGAAAGTGTGCGAAGGTGCGCGAAGGTGCGCAAAAGTAAACATCTAGCGAAAATGGATTGAGATAAAATGAATGTGTAGTTCATCAAATGCACACTTTTGTGCACGAAAGTGAGCTTTCGTGCACGTTAGCGCACGTTAGTGACCAAACGCGCATCATCGTGCACAAATACGCACGAAAGTGCAGGAATACGCACGCATAACCTTAGACGCACATCAAAAACAAAAATTTGCGGCTGGTGTGAATGTGAGAATTTTTTTTGTCCAATAACACCCTTGATACTGGCCATCTTTAAAGATACTCACCCTTGTCGTCTGCAGCTCGACCTGATCCCTGCATCCTTTGACATAGTGAGTGTGCTTGTTATCATCTTACAATTTTGCTCATAAGTTGTGGAGCGATAGGAATCTAACAACGAATATTGTCATGATACGACGACTGGGCTGCGCGAGCGCGAACTGGCGAGTGGCACACGGGCACGATCTAATACACACGGGGGGATTAGTCTGAGTGCAAAGGGAAAGAGCACGCTGTATAGATCTAACCTAATACACACGGGGGGATTAGCTATACAGGGCGTAAGCATAAGTGCATACTGCGCAAGGGCGACGAAAGGACTTACTCTGAGTGCGAAGGGAAAGAGCACGCAGAGTGGGGATGCGAGAGGAGTCCTGATATACTAAAAGGAAGCAAAATTGAAAGTCTGCTAGAATGGGGAAGCCTGCCATAAAGAGGTCCGTGCATGGGAACACTACATATGATTGTCCAATCACTATCTACGTATTAGCAGCGCCTAATCTAAGATGTCCACCTTAAGTCCATGCCGGGCGGAATGCTGAGCCAGAGCCACTAGGCGCTTCAACACAAATGGCTACAAAAGTGGTAGCAAATCCATCATTTTGGGACACCAGAAAGCCCCGGTTAAGTCTTCGAAAATGAAACAGTTTTGATGGCTTGACCAGGACATTTCAGGTGATCTGAAATCAGCTCATGCCCGTAGTGATAGGCGACATGGACGTCCGTACTCGAGCTGGGAAGCCGATTCACACGGACATGCATGTAAGGCTATAACAATACACACCATTTGTTCTCATTGATTTGCTGGGGCTGATGTGTAATGTATTGCGATGTTCTGGAAAAAATGAAGCTCCAGGCGATGGCTGTGGTTGCATGGAAGGCAGAGTGGTGCGGAGCTATGCACACCCGATTTCACAAGGCAAATGGCTGTGCGCTGCCATCTTATCATGCTGCAGATGTGTTGTCCACCGTTCAGGCTTGTACACCACATCAGTCCTCATATTCTCGTACCCTTTAGACTTGTATACATCTATCCCGTCGTCT